TCTCACATCCTCACCCTTAATTCACCTGCGCCTCCCTCCTTTATTTATATCGACAGGGACGCTCACCAGTGCTGAAAGGTGATGAGAGTGGTACATCTGGTGTGTGTGTGTGTGTGTGTGTGTGTGTATACGTGTGTGTGTATACGTGTGTGTGTATACGTGTATGTGTGTGTGTGTGTACAAGATGATGCAGTCAGTCACAGATAAGGGTTAAGCTCTGCTGCATTTGAACGTCCATCAAGAAGAATCTCCTATACTGGATGGATTAACCCCTCATATGGGGAGAGTAGATGGTCTTTTATTACACACACACACACACGCACGCACGCACGCACGCACGCACGCACACACATACTGGAGGATATCATAGATGCAACAACTCATTTTCATTTGATTATCGTTGTTGGTTTTCTGCAATGTCAGGGAATCCCCCCTTGTGTGTGTGTGTGTGTGTGGTTGTGTGTGTGTGTGTGTGTGTGTGTGTGTGTGTGTGTGTGTGTGTGTGTGTGTGTGTGTGTGTGTGTGTGTGTATGTGTGTGTATGTGTGTGTGGTGTGTGTGTGTGTGTGTGTGTGTGCTGGTGTGTGTGTGTTGTGTGTGTTGTGTGTGTGTGTGTGTGTGTGTGTGTCTGGCAAGCGCGAGAGATGCTGCATGAGTCGCATGAGGCGGGAGCCACCCCCGCCGCCCACGAGAGAGAGAGAGAGAGGCGAAATTGAAGTGTGATGCAGGCAAGATTCCTTGTTTTGGTGACCATGGCAACCGGTTTCTGAGAATCACACCCCTCCCTCACACACACACACACACACACACACACACACACACACACACACACACACACACACACACACACACACACACACACACACACACACACACACACACACACACCCCACCCCTGGGACTTCACTGCAGGGAAGGTGCTGCAGTCAATCCTGAGGAAGACAATAAGGCAGAGGTTGTGTGTGTGTGTGTGTGTGTGTGTGTGTGTGTGTGTGTGTGTGTGTGTGTGTGTGTGTGTGTGTGTGTGCGTGCGTGTGTGTCATTGGTTTTACTTGCTGTCTGTAAAAGAACCCCTTTCTGTTCATTTTCAGTATCATATCAGTATGTAGTGTCTCTACTTTAAAGAGTCCTCTCCTGCTGATGTTCAGGTGTATATCAGTATGTAGTGTCGTCTACTTTAAAGAGTCCCTCTCTGCTGAATGCTTACAGTGTGTATATCAGTATGTAGTGTCTCTACTTTAAAGAGTCCTCTCCTGCTGATGTCCAGGTGTATATCAGTATTTAGTGTCTCTACTTTAAAGAGTCCTCTCCTGCTGATGTCCAGGTGTATATCAGTATGTAGTGTCTCTACTTTAAAGAGTCCTCTCCTGCTTGATGTTCAGGTGTATATCAGTATGTAGTGCCTCTACTTTAAAGAGTCCTCTCCTGCTGATATTCAGGTGTATATCAAGTATGTAGTGCCTCTACTTTAAAGAGTCCTCTCCTGCTGATGTTCAGGTGTATATCAGTATGTAGTGTCTCTACTTTAAAGAGTCCCTCCTGCTGATGTTCAGGTGTATATCAGTATGTAGTGTCTCTACTTTAAAGAGTCCTCTCCTGCTGATGTTCAGGTGTATATCAGTATGTAGTGTCTCTACTTTAAAGAGTCCTCTCCTGCTGATGTTCAGGTGTATATCAGTATGTAGTGTCTCTACTTTAAAGAGTCCTCTCCTGCTGATGTTCAGGTGTATATCAGTATGTAGTGTCTCTACTTTAAAGAGTCCTCTCCTGCTGATGTCCAGGTGTATATCAGTATGTAGTGTCTCTACTTTAAAGAGTCCTCTCCTGCTGATGTTCAGGTGATATCAGTAGTAGTGTCTACTTTAAAGAGTCCTCTCCTGCTGATGTTCAGGTGTATATCAGTATGTAGTGTCTCTACTTTAAAGAGTCCTCTCCTGCTGATGTTCAGGTGTATATCAGTATGTAGTGTCTCTACTTTAAAGAGTCCTCTCCTGCTGATGTTCAGGTGTATATCAGTATGTAGTGTCTCTACTTTAAAGAGTCCTCTCCTGCTGATGTTCAGTGTATATCAGTATGTAGTGTCTCTACTTTAAAGAGTCTCTCCTGCTGATGTTCAGGTGTATATCAGTATGTAGTGTCTTCTACTTTAAAGAGTCCTCTCCTGCTGATGTTCAGGTGTATATCAGTATGTCGTGTCTCTACTTTAAAGAGTCCTCTCCTCCTGCTGATGTTCAGGTGTATATCAGTATGTAGTGTCTCTACTTTAAGAGTCCTCTCCTGCTGATGTTCAGGTTATATCAGTATGTAGTGTCTCTACTTAAAGAGTCCTCTCCTGCTGATGTTCAGGTGTATATCAGTATGTAGTGTATCTACTTTAAAGAGTCCTCTCCTGCTTGATGTTCAGGTGTATATCAGTATGTAGTGTCTCTACTTTAAAGAGTCCTCTCCTGCTGATGTCAGTTGTATATCAGTATTAGTGTCTCTACTTTAAAGATGTCCTCCTCCTGCTGATGTTCAGGTTGTATATCAGTATTTGTCCTCTCCTGCTGATGTTCAGGTGTATATCAGTATGTAGTGCCTCTACTTTAAAGAGTCCTCTCCTGCTGATCTTCAGGTGTATATCAGTATGTAGTGCCTCTACTTTAAAAGAGTCCTCCTCCTGCTGATGTTCAGGTGTATATCAGTTATGTAGTGTCTCTACTTTAAAGAGTGCCTCTCCTGCTGATGTTCAGGTGTATATCAGTATGTAGTGTCTCTACTTTAAAGAGTCCTCTCCTGCTGATGTTCAGGTGTATATCAGTATGTAGTGTCCTCTACTTTAAAGAGTCCTCTCCCTGCTTGATGTCCAGGTGTATATCAGTAATGTAGTGTCTCTACTTTAAAGAGTCCTCTCCTGCTGATGTTCAGGTGATATCAGTAAGTAGTGCCTCTACTTAAAGAGTCCTCTCCTGCTGATCTTCAGGTGTATAT